ACACAAATGTTTTCACCTAATTAGGGTATTTCGCTGCCATGGATTAGTAAAGAATGTCTTTCTCTTAGACCCACTTGTAGCAAAAGGAAATAAGATCACGGGTTGGTTTAGTTCAGAGGAATGCCTACACTCACTCACTACAGGCTATGGTTGCTAATTTTCAATTGGTTTTCAGGTTGTTGGTTAAGATTAATTTGATTCCTAAGAACTACTTCCAGGAGAGTGTGTTCTGCTTCTTGTAGGCTCAGGAAATCTTGAAAAGTGAAGGCATGGGAAACATCCATGGGGAGATGGCCAGCAGCAGCACAGGGTGCTCCTGTGCCAGAGCATACTTTGTCATGTGGTGAGAGGAAGCAGAACTTGGGACTGAGGTCAGGAAGGGAGGGATTGCAGCAGGGTCCTTAATGTGGCTGTGCAATTGCAACAAGAGGGCTGTGGTTTGCTTGCTGATCTTTATTTCATTACCAGTTGGCAGTACCAGCTGAAATGAACTGCCCGGCAGAGGGGACGCAGGATGCCCTCCCTGCACCCTCCTGGGGCACAGTGTACCCAGGGTTTGAAGTGCTTTGCCTGCCAAGGACACAGGGTGGTACCTGTGTGACAAAGCACAGGGTGTGATGCAGCTGTGCATGCAAGGGCATGATGTACACTGATAGCCAGGAACCTTTGTAAGCAAGGAAAGCCATACCAGGAGTGATCATTTTTGGCTGATGTAATTGCACTGTCACTAGGGCTTAATCTGACAAATTGCATTAGTCAGGGATTTTATTTTTTAGTACCCTGGTTCTCAGCACTACTGCAAATCTGTTAAAACAGACACAGCTCTGACAGCCACTCTCACAGAGAACAAGAAATGTGGAAGGTCTGTAAAAGTAGTTATGATTCTTCTATAAATAAATACAACTGAGTAAAAAGAGAAAAAAGTGACACTCAAGTACAAAAGCTTGATCAATACAAAACCTCTCTGATGTCCAAGAAAAATAACTGGAAGTATCTGTGAAGGGCTGAGGCTTTGCACATAGGCATCATTTACATCTAGCTATTTCCCCATCCAGTAGCAGTGGTGCCCTTTCAGATCCCACTGGCAGTTTGGTCAAATGCTTTATTGATAGAAATCCTGCCCTAAACTCATCACAGCCCTGGGAGTCCAGCAGTGCTCTGAGAAGAGCAAGCCACCGATGTGTGTAACTGTGGAGTGAAAAATATTCTTTTTATTAATAATGACAATGTATAGAGAGAGGATTTGAATTGTTAGAAGTTAACATCTGACAGATACCTCTCATCTGAAAGAGAAATGGGAAATGTTTGTTATGGTCCCTATGGACTTGACATCACTGTAGAAATATTCATTTCCAGAAATAGTTTTTATTCTTCACATCTCAAGCTGTGGATTTGTGTAGGAAACAATGGCATAGAGGCCAGGCTCACCACCACCAAGAGGCACAAGCAGTCAGTTTCCCCCCATCACCCCAGGAAAGCCTTTCCAGCTTCCAAGGCAGAGCTGATGCCAAGGCAATCGCAGTTTTAGCCGGGGAGGTGATGCTGGGGAGTGCAAAGGGCCTGCTCAAGCCATGGCCTGAGTGTCCCTGGGGCTCTCCTGCAGCAAGACTGTCACTTGGGTCTGCCTGCTGCACCAGGTGCTTCTCCAGCAAGGCTCTTCTTAAGGCCTGGGGTCTGTAGGCAGCAGCTGGTGAAAAGCTGGCCTGCAGGTCTGTCACCTCCTTGCTCCTGTTAGCACTCGTGCTGGGCTCCAGGTGACACTGATGGCAGAGGGCTGGGGGCTGCTACACAGTGCAAGGAATGTGAATGCACAGAAAAGGCTGGCCAGGAAAGGCTCTGTCCCCTCCCTGGTTAATTCTGCCTGTTACATGCAGGAAAATGGGTGTGATACATGCAGACATCTTCATGATCCTTGAGTTTTACAGCCTATGGGATTTATTCAAGTAGAAATTCTGACAATATTTAGTATTTGGACTAATATCCAGAAGCTCTCAATTTAGTGGGTTTTTAAATGCATACATTTTGGTCATGCAGCTTCAGAAAACTGAATTTACTATAATTGAAATAATGGCTTTAATTCCCATTGGCAATTACCATGAAACTACAGCAATACTTTTAAGTGAAAAAATTAGGATAATAAAATTACCTAAGGTTGTGTAGCAGCTGGAAACAATGAGTCAGGACTGCCTGACTGGACAATGTTTCACATATGTCCGTGACCTATACTCTAAAAGAAGTTATAGCAAGATTGTTTAAAATTAAGATTTTGTCAGGTCAGATGCAAAAATTATCATGAATACTTTATTTGACATTGCAGTGTTTCCTTTGCTTCTTTTGTTTTTCCCCAGTAGGAGCTGATGTTTTCTTTCCTTTGTAATTTTATTGAAATTAAAAAGGAAAGAGTCTAAAGGCTTCATTTAGAAGATGTTTTAGAATACATTAAAACATTCAAATCAGTACATTTTAAAAGGAGAAGGGGAAAAAAGTGCAGCAACTTAAATATGGTTTTACCCAAGGATGTGCCTTTCTTTGGAAGTACATACATATTAACTCTTCTTTCTACAGTTTAGATGTAGTTACTATATCAAAGGCTTTGGGATGGATTATTAAAGGTTATTGTTGCTTCATTCATCTGCTGCTCCCTTTGTCTCCCTCCAGCTGTAACTTGAAGCACTCTGAAACTACATTTTGGTTATTTATGGAGGGGAGTCCTAAGAGCCTTGTTTGATGAAAAAGTGTAAAAAATCTGACTTGAGAAGGTGCTTGGTGCACTAACAATTTAAAAAGCAAAAAACCCATATTATTTACACTGAGGCTGGTTTGTGAACTTTTTAAAAGGAGCAATGCACCGAGGGCCACGAGACAAATTCTTTGCCTGCCATCTGGACGGTGCAGGGCCTGGCTGCAACAGCATGCTAAAGCAGCTGTGAGGAAAGCAACGCAGGAGGGTGTGTTTGTCTCCCTCTCGCTGACAGCTGGCATGCTCTCCACTGGCTGGGACCAAGTCTTCTGAGATGCTTTGCTCTCATTTTGAATTCTTTTGTGCTCCTAAAGCCAGTTGTGAGGAGAAGGCAATGGACTCAGCTGTGGTTTAAGGGTTCAGCTTACTTTTCCAAGCTGGTCTGTCTACTTGTCTGTGGTTCAGTGGTTGATGACAGACAGTCCTAAACCCCAAACCTTCCACAGCATTTGGTACCATCTGAATACAAGAAGTATTTAAATGTGCGTAGAAGAAGGGTAAAATTACTGCCACAGTTTTACTAGAATCATAATCAGGAATGTCCAAATCCCACTACAGTCTACAACTCAAACATTTAATTTGGAGTTCATGTACTTTGATTTGTTCTGTATTCACTTTTCTGTAATTGGTTTAATTCTAATTATAAAGCAGAAAGCCAGACACTGTTCTCCTATTTTAAGTTAATGAATCTAAAGGATAAGCCAAATTACTAGAATGTATGAATGTAAAAATACTAGGGAATTTTAATTGTGCAACATATTAATGCTCATGCTGATTTTTATTTGGGTTTTTCTTAAATCCAGAGTTTTGACAGCAGTCTGACTAAAAGTAGTTGCTTTACAGGTGAATGACAGATATGTGCAGGTAGTAAGAATCCTTACATACAAATACTTTTCCTTTTCTAAGAAGTTGTCATCATGTAAGTCTGAAATGTTCTTGTTTGCAGCAGAGATTGGCCTTCTAAATATGAGTATGCAACTGCAGACAACAAAGCAGACTTTTAAGATCTTTGAATCAGTGCACTGGCAATTTGAATCTCATTGACTTAAAATCCAGGAGATGCTCACAGCCCAAACTTCTTACATTAAATGTAATTTTACCACACAGTGTTAAAAATAACATTTCAGTTAGGACTTAGACGAGTGTCAGATTGAGAGGTCACTGAATCACTGAATCATTTAGGTCAGAGAAGACCTCTGAGACCATTGAGTCCCACCTTGTCAACGAGACTGTGGCACCAAATGCCATCATGTTAGTTGTTTCTTGAACACCTCCTGGATGGTGAACTCCACTGCTGCCCATGGGGCAGCCCATTCCAGTGTTTAACAACCCTTTCCATGATGAAATTCCTCTTGACGTCCAACCTAATCCTCCCCTGGTGCATTCTGAGGCCACGTCCTCTTGTCCTGTCACTTGTTACCTGGGAGAAGACGCCAACCCTCATGACAGCCTTTGCTCAGGCAGTTCCAGAGAGCAGGAAGGTCTCCCATGCCTCCTTTTTCCAGGTTAAACACCCCCAGCTCCCTCAGCCGCTCCTCACAGGACTTGTGCTCCAGACCCTTCCCCAGCTCCCTGCCCTTCTCTGGACTTTCTTTTCATGAGTAATTGGACACAGTTGAGTTATAACTGCACCAGTGCTGAGTATGAAGGCACAATCCCTGCCCTGCTCCTGCTGTCCACATTGCTGATCCAGGCCAGGATGCCACAGGCCTTCTTGGCCCCGTGGGCACACCCTGGCTCACGTTCAGCTGCTGCTGACCAGCACCCCCAGGCCCTTTTCCCCTGAGCCACCTTCCAGCCACGGTGTCCCCAGCCTGTCGCTGTTTTGGCCAAAGTGTAGGACATGGCACTTGGTCTGGCTGAACCAGGACATCCTAAAGGATCTGCAATTCCTGCCCTGCTCTGCACCTGTGCAGTCATTCTGCACAGTTTACTCTTATACACAGATCTGCGTTCCTTCCCATCTCACGGAAAAGATATATGGGCTGTACCCGCTGAGTACCTGACGCGCCGGGCACGGCGGGGCGCGGGCGGCTCCGTGAGGCGAGGCCGGGCCGCGGTGTTGCCTCCGCCGCTCGGTCCCGCCCCGTGTCCGGGGCCGCGGGCGGGGCGGGGGCGCGGCCGCCGGCGCGGAAGTGACGGAAGGTGGCGGTGACGCCGTTTTCCCGCGGTTCGGGCGGCGGGCGGGGGCCGGGAGCGGGAGCCGGCGGCCCCTGGTCAGTGCCGCCCGCTGCGGGCGCTCCCGGCAGCCGCTCCCGCCATGCCGCCCAAGCCCCCGCGCAGGGCGGGCTCCGCCCGGACGCAGCGTCCCAGCCCCGACGGCGGCTCCGCGCCGCCCGCCGCCCCCCGGTAAGTGGCGCCCGGGCCGGGGGCGGGCGGGCCGGCCCGGGGCTCTCGGTGCCCGGCGGTCCGGGCTGTGGGGCGATGGCACCCGGGGCGGCTCCGGAGCGGGCGGTGTGGGTTCCGTGGGCGCCCCGCGGTGCCCTGTCCCCGCTGGCGATGTGCGATGCTTTTCCCAGGGTCGAGGTGGGCGAAGCGGACTTCGTCGTGCTCTGCGATGCGCTGAAGGTGTCGGAGAGCGTGAGGGAGAAAGCGTGGAAGACGTACGAGAGCTTGTCGGCAGCGGACGGAGCTCTGGTGAGTAGCGCTGCTCGTAGCATCGCTCGGCAGCAGAGTTCTGTGCCCCAGCTCGCATACTGAGCCGAAACTTCGCTGCAGCGGCCGCCGAGGGTCCCGCGGCCAAAGCTCGTGTACTGTGACTTACCTTTTTCCTAGTGAAGGTAGACTTGGAAAGAAGTGGGATGTTGCCATGTTCATGTCTGTGTAAACTAGCTTCTGTAGATTGCCATTTTTTGTTAATATTTTGTGATAAGAGTACGTGCTCAGGAGTTCTTTTAGGTTACTAACAAGTGGCAGTAGAAAACAGCAGCATGCAATCAGCAAATTCTTTGAACTGCAAGTTATTTCAAATATGTCTTAGTCAGCTTCATATGGGCAGTCTTACTGCGTGTTTCTGTGTATTTTTTCCCCTCTGTATCCTTTATGAAGCTGCAGAAAGGGTATGGAGATTACTATTGCAGAGACAGGAACGTTTCCTTTTTTTGTTGCATAATGTTAAACCTGTGCTTATCGTTGAGGCATTTCCGTTCCAAGTTAGTCATTGGGCATGTGTAAACAGATTAATAAAGTGTTAGGGCCTTTCTTGATTTTTGCTTTTCCTTCTCCTCAGTATGACTGCTGTGTCAACAAGCTGGCTCAGAGAACAGCTATAGTACAGCTAAATCATAGCAGAAGCTCTGTTAGAGAGTCCAGATGCAGTTTTATAATACCCAGCTGGGGTATTATTCCCACAGTGGGCACTTGCATTGATGTGCATGTTCTCACTTCTGCTTACCCTTCTGCAGCTTGAGCTGGCCTGCCACAGCTATGCTGTCACTACTAATAGTTTGTAATCTGTGTTTTTTAAATTGCAGTGTGGATATACCAGGTCTTGATACATTCACATCACGGAATAATAATAGCATGGAAGAGAGACTGTGCACAGCTCTTTCAGTAACAGATACAATTTCTGGTCATGAATGTTCATGGAAGCATTTACCTAAAAGCATAGTTGAGTTCCCCTGTAAGAATGAAAACAGGAGTAGTCAGGTCCCTTGACTGAAAAAAAGCAGGGCAGGTTGCAGTATAATCCTGCACATTTCATTTACAGGTAAAGTTTTGTTTTCACTGATCATTACTTAGCAGTGGCCAGATAAGATACATGGTGTTTGAAACCTTACAGCATCTGATTGCTTCCTTTACCTATTCAGAACCAGATCTTCATTATGATATATAACTAATATTTGTTGTCTTGCAAGTAAAATTGATTGTTGAGAGCCTTTCAATGTACAGGAGAAAAAAATCTACATTATATTTGAGTCCAAGGCCTTTCCTTCAAACTTAGACATGTATCTGCAGGGTGTTGAAATGAGTAAGCTGTCAAGTGTTTGCCTCCATGGGGATCTGGAAGGTGCTGGAGTTGCTACTTCTAGCTGAGAGCAGGCTTCATCTCACTCTGAAGTCAAGCAGGTTTACAGCCTGGCTAATTGCTGCTTCTTTTCCCAAGTCAAGCTGCTGTGGTGAGCCTGGTGTCTCAGGATGACTCTCTAGTTCAAGTTGCAGGGATTCAGGAGGAGGCTGCTCTTTTCTTCCCTCAGGAAAGGTGTTATGTTGGAGGGGCTGTCCCAGGGTTTATCCTGCAAGCCCCAGCGGCACATGTTTTAATCAGTGAGGTTCAGCAGTAACCTGTTCAGTTCTGAGCTGGAGCAGAAGCTGTGTAGCAGCTTTCTCTTCTCAAGCAAAAAGTTAAACAGCAGGCCACCAGCTGAGACAAATACTTACCAGAACACTTCTGTTTTGCAGTGTAGTTGGTTTGACTTGAGGAAGCTTAAATCAAAAGGCTGCTGATGGAAATAGAGGTGGCATCCAGAAGTCTCCCTCTCAAGCCATTTACAAAGTACAAAGACCTGAAACCTTGCCTTTCTTGGCTCACTGGCCTTATTTTATTGTGGTTGATGTTAGAATTGTGCCTGCCAAATCTCTGAGGATGTGAAGAGCACGTGTAGTGGTAACTGGGAAGCAGTGTGGCCCAGACTTTAGGTGCTGTGGTAACTGGCAGATACTCAGGGTGCAGATGTGGTTTGGATGCAGTCTGAACATCTGCTGTATCCTTGCTCAGTGAATGTTTAGTGAATTGAGATGAAAACATCTTGTAGTGCTGTCCTTTTTGAGTCGCTCAGGGTGCGTGTGCAGCGACTCCACAAACTGGGTGCATGTGGCTTAAAAGTATAAAGCAGTTATTTTTGGCAGGCATATACACAAAAAATTGCTGGAGTGTAGTGACTTACCAGCCTAAATGTGCCTGTGCTTCAGTGAGATATTTTACTAACCAGGTAGGCATCAGCCAGCAGGAGAGAACTTATCTGCTGCTCCCTGGAATGAATGCTAATGCCTACTGGAGCCACTGCTTTTTTTTCCTTCAGGATGTCACACCTTTCCACTCTGATATTTTTTCTTTTGAGCATTTGAGCTAGTAGTGATGATACTTAGAAATTTCAGCTTTCTTATCTTGCACTTCCTTTCCATGCTCTGTAGCTTTCCTTGCAGTGCTCTCCAGTTATCTGTGTCCACAGCATGTGAGTCAAGGATATACAGATGCACCCTCTTCCAGCTGGGCTGTGAGTCCTTGAAACAGCTGAACCTCTTTGAGAGGTATGGAGGAGGAGGAGGAGGAGGTTGACAAGAGAGAGATGGTAACACAACTTTTCTGGAAAATGTGGCTGACCTGTAGCTGTAAAAACCAGGTCTGCAGAGGGGGATTGTTCAAAAGCATCACAGCTGTCTGTTAAATATCCTGGTGTTTTCCTTCATAGTAGGAGAATATTAAAGCTTCACTCTGTGACAGCCAAGTTTAATGAAATTCTTCTACAATAAAATGGTAACTCAAAATGTCTTAGAACCCCAAATGCTGAATCAGCACTCTTGGTGTGTGGGCTGAAGGAAGGTATCTGATGTGTAATCAGAAAGATGTTTCTTTTTAAATTCTTTTGCTGTCTGGTGAACTCCCACACAAGCTTATTGTGAATATGGAAGTGTTTATCTAAACAAGAGCTTTTCATTGGTGTCATACAAATATTTTTGTTCTCTCTATCATTTCTTTATCAAACCAAGCTACCTAGATGAACAGAACATAAACATAAACAATGTTTATGCCTTAACATTGGCTCTGATCTTTGCTTCTCTTGTACTCTTAATTTTTTGTAACTCTCCTGAAATCTGTATTATGAACCAAAATGCTTATAAATTCTAGATGGAATGAATAGATTTAGTGGAATTACTGATGTACCTTGGTGATCAGCAGGTGATTGTTGGTGTAAGGGATATTAAAAGTAGTCCAGGAAGCCATACTAATACTGTGTGAAGAAGCTCAGGGCATTTGTTATGTTCTGCTACTGTTTGTTTTGGTAGAGAGCAGCAAAATGAGAATCTCAAGTAGAATATTGGGTGATACAAGCAGGAAAGAAAAGCTTGAGCAAATTGTTGCTGAATATATTGGAAAGAACCCATGTGAGGAACAGGATGATTTGGTGACTAAATTGGAACCAAACTTCTCCAAAGAAAATGAAAGTAGTTTAAGAAGTTGATATAATTTGGAGTCTGCCAAGGACCTTAAGGCATTAGGGTCTGCTGTGCTTCGAGCTCATCAGCTTAGTTAGCTGTAATATATGGGGCGTGGGTAGGAGCTCCATTTTTTTGTTGGCTGTTCACAGCACTGTTTGGGAAATGTGGCTCACTGTTCTCCTGCTGCAGCTCAGCTGTTCAGAGTCAGGAATTCCTGAGCCATTTTTATCAAGTATTTGTCTAACCCACTATTTAAAAAATTGTTGTGGTGCAAGATCTGCAGTCTGCATAGTTAGGTTTTCCTAGTTTAGCTTTATTTCCCCATTTATTTTTTTCCCCCAAGTACTGTGCTAATTTGTTTCTGTTGTAATTCAAGCCAGTGGTGTAAAATTCTGTACCAGCCAATTCTGTACCCCATGAGAGATGTATTATTGCTGCCTTTTCTTTTCCTTCAGAAAGTCTCTGGCATATGAAGATGTTCTAGGCATTTTTTCTTGTCTCTAATTACTTTTCTTGTCTCTAATTACTTTTCTTACATCCTGAAATTCTCCCCAGCTGGTATGCAGATACTGCAGAGCACTTGATTTGTGCAGGAGTTGAACTGCTTTCTTAGTGAAGAAATTAACAGGTAAACTGTTGCTTAAGTTGAGGAATGAAGTAAAGACTACTGAAATATGGAAGGTTGGTCTGCATATACCAAAGAGTTCATGTTCAGCAGGCCAAGTGTCCCCAGTCCATACAATTTCACATTTAAATTGAAAAAATTCCTTTTAGTTGTGGTTTCTTATTCTCTTATTAAAAAGAGAATATTTTAATTGGTAAGCCACCTCATCCTCATGTTAAAAGGCAGAGAGGCCTCTTGCTTTTGACAAAAGCATGAAACACATATGAGCTAATGAAGTATTTTCTGTCTAGACTTTGTCTCTAATTTATAGAATTGTAGCTGAACTGAACCTGAATCCATTGAAACTTTGGATGCCTGAGCAAAATTACAGATATTTTAGGATCCTCTGTTATTAAAAAAAGAAGAGCTACTGAAAGTCCCAAAACAAACAGATCATCTCCATGGCCTCTTGCTGATGATATTCAGTATCTTAGCAGCAGATGGGCTGCTTGTATGTGCCCATGGACTTGAAAAGCTCAAGCAACTGGTGTAGAGTTTTTTTTTACTCATCTTCTGCCTATCCTGAGGAGAGATTGATGACTTCTCCAGTCTTGCTGCATGTGAAAGTGTAATGGGAACTTTGCATATCAGATGAACTATTTTTACTACTTCACTACTTTCCATTGCCTTCATTACTTTCAGCTAGTATTTTATTTGAATTTGATCTCCTCTGTTGTGAACTAATAATAATCTTCTATCCCAGACAATGTTCAATAGAAAATTTAAACCTGTATTGCTGAAAAAATGAAGGATCTGTCTTTACACAGAGCTTCTTCTATGTAGACAGGGCTTATAATGGTCACAGATTTTTTTTCCCCCCCTGGGGTATTCTTCCTGCAGGTTTTTATTCTGAACAGTTTTCTGTTGTCAGAGCTTCTTGAGTCTACTCTCCATCTTCCACCCACTGTAATCAGAAACATGTAAAGTCAGTAAATGGTTTGAGTTGCAAGGGACCTTTAAAGGTCACCTCGTTCCAACCCCCTGCCATGGGCAGGAACAACTTCCACTAGAGCAGATTGCTCAGGGCCCCATCCAACTTGGCCTTGAACACTTCCAGGGATGGGGCATCCACAGCTCCTCTGGTCAGCCTGTCCTGGTGTCTCACCACCCTCACAGTAGAGAATTTCTTTCTAATCCTGATCTAAACCTGCTCTCTTTCAGTTCAAAGCCATTTCCCCTTGTCCTATTGCTACATGTCCTTATAAAAAGTACCTCTCCAGCTCTCTTAGAGCTCCCTTGAGGTACTGGAACATGCTCTAAGATCTCCCTGAAGCCTCTTCTTCTCCAGGCTGAACAGCCCCAACTCTCTCCAGCCCCCTGATCATCTCTGTAACCTCCTTTGGACTATCTCTAACACGTCTGTGTTCTTATACCATCAAGCTAGTTCTCCATATTGATTGGAATGTAGTAACTGAGATTTTACGTTAGGAAGCCAAGTTCCATATCTTCCTCTTCAAAAATCAGGTGCTTGATATTTGCAGTGAGACATCCTATATCCCATTTGGTTCAAGTATCCATCTGTGTTTGCATATTTTTCATGTGCATTTCCCTTGACCTTCTTTTACTCAACCGTGTTTGAAGTTTCTATTCCTGGGTCACTTTTGTAGGCTGTCACCAAAATTGTTATCAGTGTTGGCAGAAGAGTAAACATCTCTAACTGCATACTAGAGCTGAGACTTCCTGTGACCGTCTCCTTCTTGGGACTGATTAACACTGGAGAACCTCTGGAGGCAGGGAACAAGTTATTCCTGTTAGTGCCTTTTAACACCTTTCAGCTACATTTGGAAAGAAGAGAGGCAAGAATCCCATTTTACAATAATTCAACGTTGGATGAGCATTTTAAGCTAATGACTTCTCCCAGGTTGTTTTCACTAGATTTAAATAAACTAGTCATCTGGTAAAAATCAGATTGAATAAAAGTAATGGTAAGTCCAGAGTGAGAAATGTTTTGTAAGAGTTTTAGATCTTTTCCTACAGAAAACTATATTGAGTCAACACAACATTGCCCAAAGTTATAGCATGGGTTCCTTGGAATCCTAAATAAAAGATGATAAAAAGAGAAAGAAATCTATATGGACTGCTAGATGCTAAATAATCTTAGGGCTAGTGATTGGTAGGTATGCTTTGCTTCATGATGAGTTGAATTAAGGTCACTGCAAGTCATCTTACTGAAACTGAAGGACAGCCAAGGGCAGATGTTGAGCTGTTGTCCTGCCCATTTTCTGTAGTGATGCCGTATCAACAAAGATCTTGAGTCAGACTGGTGAAGAAGAAAACCCTCAGAAATTAATTTCTGGCTATGAATTTGTCTTCATTTCATTCCCTTCATTTCATTTAATTTCTTCAATGCATTCCCATGCATCCAAATCCCTCTGAGATGAATCATCTGCTTTGGCTGTAAACAAAGCAAAATAGTTGGAAGAAGTGATGCTGCTGTGTTTTTTGTTCAGCAGTCATCTTTAACTCATAGGAGAGAAGAGAACTTTGGGAGGGAAGGGGTGTGAAGAGAGAGTTCTTATGAGTGTGATTTGCCAGGAAGACATCATCTTATTTCTTCTCCCCTTCCCCTGCCCCATGATGTTTATATTTGTTCTGTTTTCCGCTGGAATAAAGCTGATTTTGTTCCCAGTAGCTGGTATAGTGCTGTGGTTTGGATTTAGCATATGAGAATGTTGACAGTGCTGATATTTTAGTTCTTGCTAAGTAGTACTTGCCCTAAGTCAAGGACTTTTCATGCTCTGCCAGTGGGCATGCACCCAAAGATCTGGAGAGACCATGGCCAGGACAGGTGTCCTGAACTGGCCAAAGGGGTATTCCATACCAAAGAACATCATGCCCACTATATAAATTGCATTGGAGTTGTGCTGGGAGTTGCTGATTGCTGCTCAGGGATGGGCTGGGTGTGGTGAGCAGATGTATTGAGCATCACTTGTTTCTGTTGGGTTTTATGTCTCTCTCTGTCTTTCATTTCCATTGCAATTATTATTAATGTTGTTATTATTGCTGCATTTTATTTTGGTCCAGTTATTAAACTGCTCTTTTCTCAAGCTGTGATGTTTGGTTTCTGACACACCTCCTCACTGTGGGGATGAGAAGTGAGCAAGCAGCTGTGTGGTACTTAGTTGCTAGCTGGGGTTAAACCATGACAATATTTATGCATTAAAATCACTGGAATTTTCATGCATGGCTATGGCAGATACCTTGTTTTCTGAGAAAACTGCAGTTCACCTGTGTCTTTGGTTGTTTTAACCAGCAGCAGCTGGTGGGATATTCCCAGTCTGGTGCTCTTTCATGTTTTCCTCTCCTTCCTGTCTCAGCTATGTTATAAGGTAGGCATGCTGAGGTGCTGCTCACCTTTTCTTGGCTACTAGGAAAAAAACCCCAATCCAGAATCTATTTATCTTGGGTTGTGTGTAATTCTTCTTGTTAGGCCAGCAGTCAGCCAACATCTTGTGTTGAGGAGAAGTTGTCCAAAGCATCCTGTACCTTCAGCAGTGGGTGTGGGAGTAGTCCTGATACTGGAGTTTGGCCATCTGTAATGGTTTGAATCTCATGGATGGCCAGGCTGCCTCTGAGGCTGCCTTTTTGTTTAATGCTAGAAACAAATGAGTTATTATCCCCAGCCATACTGGACAAGGAGTTTAAAGGTTGTTCTTGCAAAACCAGACCTCTGTCCTATCAATTAAAGCATTGCTGTGGCCTTCTAGCACTCATCCTACCAGAGCTGAGCTAGGCTGCCCAGGAAAGCTGGGCTTGTTTGCATAGGCAACAAACCAGGAACAATTTCATTGCTTGGTGGCACTCAGTCCTCCTGCCCTACAAGATGTTGTATTTACAGGACAACATCATGGCCTGAGTTTGCAGGAGCATGGAGTGAAATGACCTTATTTAATAAACAAGATCAGCTGACTCCAGGGGCTGGGGTATGCTCAGTGTGAGTAGTCTTCCCTCTTGGTAGTTCACTAGCTAGCATTAACCTGCATAATTTGTTATATCCCTTTGTATATCAACAAATGCATCTCTGTCTGTCAATAGCTTATTTCAAAGTAATTTTCTCTTGTGCAAGGAGATGTGATTTGTAGAAACACTCAAACAGGAATGCAGGAAGAAAATAGTGACTTAAATAATTGTCAGTTGTCCCACTGTTGAGGGTGGCTGGTTAGTTTTGCATTGAAGCCTGTTCTATAACTATTAACAATTGCACAAGCCAGTCAACGTTTTTCTTCTTTGGAGAAAGCCCCCAGCCACTCTTCCCTGTTTTATAAATGCTGTTCCCAAGAAAGACACAGAGCAACTGTCACCAAAACAAAACAAAATGTTGGCAGTATTAGTGAAATTGTATCATTTATGGGCACAGTGGGTTATTGGTCATGGTTACACTGCTGAATAAGCAAGGACATGAGTGGATGCTGACAGTGCAGAGGATTTTGGAGCAGGTTTGGAAGACTGCATAACATGGAGTGAGCTTGGTCTGGTGCAGTCTTACTCTTATTACCTTTGGGGAACATTTTCTAGAGTGAGCAGGCCCCTGCAACTTGCACTGGTATTGTCTAGGAGGTAACTAGGTGGAGTGATTGGGGAAAGGATAAAAAAATAGGCTGGGGAGTGGGCTAAAGCTAGGCAGTGTGGAAGAGCAGGAATGCAGTGCTTCCATTCCCTTGCTCCTGGTGCTCCATTTCACCTCTGTCCTCCGACACATGTCATGTCCAACCTAGAGCTGTGGAGAATGCATTCAGATCCTGCTCCCTTGCTGTGGGCCTGGGTGGTGTTGCAGTTTTATTTACAAGGATGCTGGATATCTGAAAAGCATTTTACAAGTTTGCTGTTTCTGCAGTTTTGGCCTGCACCCATGCCTAGTTCTGTCTTCAAGATAGCTTTGTTTCCAAAACTTGGGATATACCTGCTTAAGGGGTTTTTTTCCATGATTCTACAAGTCATTGTCCTTCAGGGGTTTTCCACTGAGTTGCTGTTTTGGTGGAAGGGTATTGGAATCTTAAGTGATACCTGTCTGGCTTCAAGTGAATGGCTTGTGAGCCATCATCAGGAGTTTTGCTCCATGTGGATTCCATGTCTGTCATTGTGGGTTGGCTTCTTTTGATGAAGGATGATTGGTTATAACTTGCACTTTCTAAATAGCAGAAAGCAGACCTTAAATGTAGATGTATGGTAGGAAAATGGCTGGAAGTGCTTGTTACTATCAAACTTTACTAAGCAGAGATGGGTTTTTGGTTCAGCAAACCACGGGGATGAGTGGTTGACACAGTTGTACTCATTTATGAGTGTTTATTGCCTGTTATTGTAAAGATTTCAATTTTGTTTTTATGGTTTGGCTTCTTATTCCTTAACTTTCAGTGTGTTGTTATGATCAAATATGGTAATTTAGGAAAAAAAAAAAAAGAAATCATTACTTCTGCTCTGCAAAAACATTCCATGGAACCAAAGCTTGTGTTTTGAAGCTTTGCTGAATTGTATGGGTAAAATTGATCCTGTACTGTTGGAATAAAAGTTGAAATGCTCAGTCTTTTACCTGTATTGTAAAACCTGGAATGGTTTTCTGTTATAAAATAATTGGCTGTCATAGTCAAATGTTTGTTTGAGGATGTTTTGTTTAACCATTTCCAATCATGTTTGGACAAATTATTGTCTTCCATGCATTACCCATTTCTGTTGATTAATAAAAACTCTTTCCTCTCTTTTTTCAAAAAGGCTTGCAACACAAAGAAAAAGGAAACATGGGGTGTATGTATCTTTATTGTAGCAATTGATCTGGATGACGTGACATTTACTTTCACTGAGCTTTTGAAAAGTATAAAAATGAGGTAAGTGAGTTTAAGTGTGTGAATTTAGATTTTAACAATTAACTTGCCAACATTTTTATGGAGGGAATGTTTTTAAGGCATAGTGAATCTTTGTACATATCAGACTAGTTGATTTTACAATGAAAATTACTTACAGAAATTATGAATATATTGGTAAACTAGAAGTTGAGGGAGCAGTGATATTGTTTGATTAATCTGTAGTTGGCTTTGGTTGTATCACTCATCTCGTTGTTCATGCTCTTCCTAAAGTATTCATTAGTTCAGGTTGGTGCAAATTTCACTTAAAATATTTCTTTATTTCTTTCCCTCTATGATGATTTTCCATAAAACCTCTTTCCCAGCATTAGGCTTAGGCTAAATCAAGAAGTGGGGAAAAGAAACATTACTCTTCAAACAGTTTACCAGCATGCTGCTCTTTCTCAAACATTTTAATGCCTAGCTAAACTTTGTATAGTTCATATACTCTTTCATATACTCTTTTATTTGGGGGTGTGTCACTGTTGTATTGTATATTAATTAATTTAATAATACAGAAATTAAGATTATAGTATCTGCTTTTAAGGTGAATTTAGGTGAGAAAAGCAACCTTGTGTTACATTCATCTAAGGAAAGGATTCCAGTGCCATCTGCCTGGAACTGTGCCATGTGTGGGAAGCAAGTGCAGGAGCAGAGCCTCTCAGTGCTCTAGGGCAGGAGGCCAAGTCCTGGCAATAACCTCAGGCTTGGGCCAGAATATCCTTTTCCTTGAAGTCATCTCTTATGGTTAGACTTCTCCATGCCTTCTTCTACCTTGCATCATCTCCCAGAGCAGGGTCAGGTCCAATGTTTTGACTTCATCTCTTCAGTGTTGACTGCCTTGGAACCGTGTGAAATCCAATTGCATTTGTGCAGCGACGTCCAGCGTGTTCCACCCTGGTTCCACTGACAAATTGTGCTGAAAAGTGAGAGACTTTTTCCCTTAGGGTTTCAAAGAGTAAGCTGTTACTCTGCTGATTGTGATGCAATATTCAATTGCTTGTTAGCCCTGGGCTTTTTCTCAGCTATAAGGTCAAATTGGCAGAGATTTCTACTAGTCATCCTCTAGAGCCTTCAGATATATTGGAAAGATCTTTTATTCCATCATAAGCGTTCTTAAATGAGCTTTTGACTGGTTTTGTGTTTTGTATCTTTAATCTGACAAAGATCAAAAAGTCTCTCAGAATATTACATTCTGATAAAGGATGAAAATATATTTGATACAGTTGAAATAGTTGAAAATATTTGATAGCTTCCTCCTCTTTAATTTTTCGCATTCTGCTCATTTTACTTATGAATGTAACAAAATGCTTCCTTGGTGACCATAATATTACATGAGTGAGTAGGGAGAACTTTGATCCCTTGTGTAATATTTCCAAAGGGTGGAGATGTCCTGTTGAAAGACTTGAAATTCTATATAATTCAATGCATTCATCTCAGTTTTCATTCCTAGGTCTTTCTTTAGCATGGATGGAGCCAAGGTTCATGTTCTTAGAGTAGTAGGAGCGTTTCTAAAGCAGAACAGGAGAGCTGAGAGGTGTGTGCTGGATATTTGTGGTATTACCAGCACTGCAAGAACAAAGGCGTGTCTAGTTAGCAGATTCTGACTTCCAGAGATAATATCTGTGCTAGGCAGGAAAACTTTCCTTCTGTGGTAGAGCCTGGATCGTGAGATAGCTCTGAACAGTATTCCTGCTGTCTGGAAATGTGAAGGTGTGGCTCAAGGTAAACAGGTAATGTTTCCCAAGGCAAGGGTTCAGTCACTGGTAACAGTAGTAAGAACATGCTGGAGTCTGGTGAAGTAAGGCAATGGGTTTTCATGGAGATGTTTTTATTTTCTCTTTCTTAAGAGCAATTTCAGAATACTTGTTTTCACAAGTTATGATAATGTGCCATCTTTTTTTTTTTCCTTTTTCCAGTGTATGCACATTTTTTCAGTTTCTGAAAGAGGTGGATGTTAACATGGATACTGTAAGCACTAAAGTTGATAGCACTGTATCAAGGCTGAAAAAGAAATACGATGTATTATTTGCACTATACCACAAGTTTGAAAGGTAGTGTATGCTTTTTTCATTTTGAAATTGATTTCTTCATCTGTCAACATTTAAGTATTTGAATTTTTCAAACTGTTTGTTGTAGGAGCCCATTTAAACTGTTGGGCTAATATTTGCAGAACAGTGAAATTGAGCTGTTTACATGCATTAAATAAACACCTCTTACATTTTACTCCATAACTATCACAATGCTGTGTTAAACAACCCCCTTGTTGCAGTACAAACTGGAGTAAGATTTGCATGGCAAGTGATTACTACTCACTTTAAACTTTTTACAGATATAAAGAGGATTGGTTTACTATCTAAATATTTTTTTTACTTAACATTTTGCCTTCCGAGCCACAAAAGATTCTCAAATATCTCTTAAATAACCTTTGAAAGGGGTAGGAGATCACCCTTTGGTAGTTTATAGAACGAAGGCATGTATATTCTAGTTTGTTTTTGCATAAACTGATTTTTTTCCTTGAAATCCTATGTACCTAGAATAATTGGGAAGCAGCATTACACCACAAGGCTTGCAGTGGCACTGAAGTACTAAAGATTTTTAAATGCACACTTTTATAGTGTGTTTTGTGCAGCTGTAGTACACTTTGCTGTGTTGTACAAAACACTGAGTAACAATGTGTGTACAAATGTTGTCTTTCTGGAAGAAAGCAATTTTATAATACCAGGTTAAAATTGTTTTGCTGTCTAAGCTTTGACATAAATATGCAAACAGCAACATCATTTCAGGCTTGGCAGGGCTAGAGTTGATTTGTTGTTAACGGTTGAGTCAGCTTTTTGTTTTAAAGTTAGAAAAATGTTTTATGAACTGATATCTTTTTAAACTACATTCAAGTCAAAGATACTGCATAGTTTGCTTACAGAAGCATGTTCAAAAATAAGAATTTTATTTTCTAGGACTTGTGGCCTTATTTATCTGGAACAACCTAGTAGTGAGTAAGTTTAATTTTTCCTAAATTGTGTTTTTCAAGATAAGATGTAAAACATGATGTCATGTTATCTTTTAACCCTTCAGCACTGGCCTAAGTTGTAGTATGCTGTGTATTTACTTTGGATTTAGTGTGGACTTGGAATTTCAATGAGATGATGGGAAATGCAGAAATTATATATATTTTACTTATATATCTCTATATATGTGATCTACACACATTATGCATATTATATAAGTATATTCTTACAAAAACATATAGAGTGTGTGTATGTATTGATCAGTAGCTGTGTATCGTGTTTTTATATATTTTTATATATCTATCCCTCATCCATGAAATATTGCCACCAGTGGCATGTGTCTCGGTGTGGTGGAAATGAACATTGGGATGGAGAGTGAGCTTCCTAATCACAGCAGCAGATGAGTGTCCTAAAAGATGCCCTAACAGCTTCCCAATGAGCTTGAGTTCATGCTGGGGCTGGAGAGTAGGGCATCAATCAAAGACTCAAGAGAAGACAGCTCAGAGCAGTTGAATTGCCCACGTTCATTTTCTTTTCCGAGGATGATACAGATATTTCCTGATTCTTCAATGGCTTTACAGGGACTTAAGTTTTTCAAATGTGTAGTCATAATTACAGAGGGAATGGGTTGAGATTTTTAGTAAACTTAAGTCCATGGGAAATGTTGCATGTTGTTAAAGAGTTCCATAGACAGAAGCGTGTGTTCAGACATTGTAGTTTAAATTGTTACAGAGCAATCAATGCAAAGTATTTGTGTTTCCCTGCAGGATTTCTGCTGAACTCAGTTCTGTATTAGTCCTAAAAAATTACTGGATTACTTTTTTGCTGGCAAAAGGTGAGTTTTGGTGAAAACACAGTAATTTTGATGAATATTTTTGAAGTGAGGGTATTTATTTTACATGCCCAACATGAGACTAGTATCCTTATTACAATAAGTATTGTACAGACCCAGAATGTTTTGATTGCCTGGCTTTTGTAACTGCTCAGTAATATTTCTTTATATACAGTTTGGCTGTTCTTCTCGCTGATACACTTTCTGTATATAAACATAAGCTTTCTAAAATTTCTATGATTTTTCTCTTTTTCTTTAAAGCTTGCTGTTCTTAAGTCTTCTTGCTGTATTTAAGTTTATTCTGAGGTTCTTTGTAGTCTGCCAGCATTTTAATAATGGATAATTACCTTTAAAAATGGTATATTTTAAAAAATAAGCTTATATATATTATAAATAATATTTAATTAAACAAATTTAATTATAAGGTATTATAGTAAGTCTTTGAAAGCATGGCCTTTGAATGCTACAAATCTTTCTTGAAAAGTTGTAAGTTACGGTTAATGTTGAGTGATGAAATGTTTATAGTGGTCCGTGGAGTTTCTGTCTCATTGTACTCCTGCTAAAAGGGGTGAATCATGTCTCTCAAGTGCTGCTTACTGCAGGTGTGGGTTATCAGTGAAGTGTATGCATCTCTGATATCAAAATCAGACTTCAATCAGCTGAGTTTTTTGGAACTTTGTTGCTAGATTTCTCCAAGCGTAAGCATAAAGCAAAACCCGCAAAAGGTTTTTAGCCTGCCTTTTCTTGAGAACAAAGAAAGCTGAAATTTACTAGAGAATAGTGGGAGTTTCAGAAGAGCCTGGGTGATGCTTGCTACATCTGATAGAAAATAAATATAAAAATTGCATGTGTAAATAGAACATAGGTAGATGTGTACCTGTTCAAAACCACTATCGACTTCCTGATTTTTTTGTGGCAATGCACGCTATCTTGGGACAGCTCTGTAGATCTTCTCTGGCATATGAGTCATAATTTGGGAAAAACTGGAATTTTGCAGCACTGAAAGTGCTCTTCATGCTATTACTTGTGTGACTTTTAAGTAATTTCATAAAAATTTGACAGGCTGAGCCTACAGTGTGACAGCATGTTTTGAATTTCTTTTCACTGTATACTAGCAGCTCCTGCTTTCTGAATATTTAGCAGCTTTCAAAAAGCTTGCATGAGACCACAGAAAAAGAAAGCAGGGAGGAATTACATGGAAGTAAGAGGTTATTATTTTACAGTAAAAAGAAGAATCAAGATTGAGCACTGAGGGCAGGGTTTTGTACACAGTAATTTTGTTTGTATGCTGTCTCTAAAGCCATGAACTGAAGTGCCATGAGTTATAAAATCAATAACCTTTAAAGAGCACTGGCATCCTGTATGATGCTTCCTGGATTCTGGTTTTTTTGTTTTACTATATGAACTTCCAAATCCTTGTTTTGCAAAATTACTTCTTGAACTAAGTCAGCCATTCTCAAAAAGGTTTTCTTTACCCTTTTAAATATTTGCAGGTAAAGTGTTGCAAGTGGAAGATGACCTGGTGATTTCTTTCCAGTTGTTGCTGTGTGTCTTAGATTATTTTATCAAACTGTCACCTCCTGCTATGCTCAAGGAACCATACAGTAAGATTTTTCTTTTGTATTTCTCATTCAAGTAGAAAGTAAATTTATTATATTTCGATTAGCCATGCTAATCTTCATAATTAACATAATTAAACTTCTTAAGCTTATTGAAATGCAATTATTTTTTGTTTTAGTCAAATTTACATGATAGTTTGTAACTTGAATTCAATTACCTGAATGTGGCAGTATATTTAATATAATTTTTGCTATGTCCTCTCCCCATACTAGTTGTTTAGGGACTTGTTAAAACAACAAGTCTAATTTGGTAAAAGAATTCAGGTTCTGGGTGGATTATAACTGAGAACTATTATTTAGGTTTGTCTTGAGATAGAAAAGGGAAAAGTGGTGGTATCTTACTGTATTGGTGTGGTGGACTCTTACTTTATTGATGTTTAACAGTATGACAACAGCAGAAATGTACAATATACTGGACTGTACAGACATTTAAAACAAATACACAGTGGATAGCAGCTCAAAATAAAAGAGTAAAGGTAAAATGTAGACAGCTTTGCTTTTATTACATCCTGTTTGCTATTGCAAGTGTCACTATTTTAAGTAAAAATAGAATGGGTCTTCTGTATAAAAACTTCTATTCAACAGTAAGCTTTTACCCATTAAGTTTTTATATCTAAAACCTTCACAAAAAAGTTGAAGTAAATATTTATAAAAACTTTCAAAGATAGAATTCTATTTGAGTTAACTATTTTCTTCAGCTAGCTATGGAATTAATACACTGAAATATTTGGAGCCACAGGATGTGACTCAGATTTTTAGTAATTAGTTTATCCTCTGGTGCGTTAAGATGCGAACCTAGTATATTTAGCTTAAATCTATTCTTTGGCAACTAAACATGTACCTAAGTTGTAATGTCATGCAATAGATAAGGTATTCACTACTATATTCTTTAAATTCTGTATTTTGGAGATATTTATCTGACCCAGTGATTAATTGTTGCAGGTAAAGAAAGATAATCTTGATCTTATTCTAATGTGAATAAAGGATAGACTTGGGACAAGCAGATCCCTGCTTTCCTCCAGTACTATTTTGAATTTAAATTTGAATTTAAATTCATTCCTAGTAGGACAGACATATATGCTGCTGCTTATTTCCGGTGTTATAAAGCAGATCCTTTTCAAAACCACTGAATTAAAACTACCTGGTTTTGAATTCTGTGTTCACACTGATTTATTTTTTCATAGTAAAACTATGCAGAATAGGAGCTCATTTTTAGAAACAGTTTGGTTCTGTGCATCATACCTTGAAAAAAAATTCTGCCACTTGAGACTGAATCGCAGATATGAGTGTCACTGTCCTAGGGGCAAAGCACTGGGTTTCTCATGTGAAGCTGTGTGTGAACTGTCAAACAGCTCTACATTCTTTGAGAAAATAACACAATGTATTGTTCAAACCCTCCTGACCAAGAGGCTTCATGTTGTGATAAATGATGCCAGGCTTTATGATCTGACTAAGACTGAGGGGATTATGATGCAGCCACCTCTGCAGTGTAGTTTGTCAGGGTTTCTCAGAACAGTTGTCAAATGCAGATGAAGTTACAAGTGAGAACAGCATGCTGATTACAGTGTCAGGTTTAAACCAACAATATTTAATCATATTAATGTATGTTATTAATATAATTCACATATTTAAGCCATCTGTTTTGAGTTTAACAAAATGAAATATTTTTACCTCACCGTATTAAGGTTTTTTGATACTTTCTTCTAGGTGGACCTGTTTGTTTCTGTTTGTGTGTCTGGGGGTACTTGGGGAAAGGATGAATTCCCTCCAGGACCGTATTTTGGGTTCCCACCATCACTCAAATCCTGCATTGATTTATTGACCTTCAGCTTCTTGTTTTATACTACTTTAAAAATAGAAAAATAGTTACTCATCTGTGAAAAGATAAGGCTTTCCTAGCTTTGCAAAACAGATTCTCAGTTAAAGCTACTTGGAGAAAGTGCTGTTACATTCTGTGCAGAGTAGTTTCTTAAAAACAAAATGTCCAAATACTGATCCAGGAATTTAAAAATTAACTTTCTTTTTGTATACATTTTCTGTAATGAAGGTTTCTTACCTAGCTGAATGGATGAGAAAGAAAATATATTTAAGGGGAACACTTGAAAAAAGTATATAAGAAGTAGCATCTTCTAGGATTAATAACTTGAATTTCCTCTTTCTTAAGATGGCTCTAACCTTGTGATGGTTCTGAATGTCCCTGCAGAGTCTTCTGTGCCTGCAGTGACTGTGAATGGTTCAGCTCGCACTCCGAGGAGAGGTCAGAGCAGGAGTTCACGCACTGCCAAGCAGCTTGATACCGACACAAAAATTATTGAGATCCTTTGTAAAGAGCACGATTGTAATTTAGATGAGGTAATGCCTGCGCTTCAAAGTCTGATAGATCTTGCTGCTAGACTCCATTTGGAATATGTATTTATTTAAATGGTCTTTTTTTTAAGTGTCATTATTTGGGCCAGCTTAACTATTCTGTCAAGCAGTTACCTTCAGTAGTGAAAGTATTTTACCATTTTATAGTTTCTCTACTCAGTAGTGTAAAAAACAAACAAAAACCACCCAAAACAAACCCTTTGGTATGGGTGATAATTTTGCCAGGGTAACTGATTTGTGAAGAATAGAATATGAAGTTACAGGCTGATCACAGCATGTAGCATATGGATGCAGGGCTGCTCTGACAGAATTTCACAGCTGCATCCCATGATGAGAAAATGTATGCAAAAAGCACATTGCTTCTGTGCAAGATCTTAAAAGACCCCTATTTGCCTTTCCCTCTGCTGTTAAATCTATTTCTGTGTAAAAAGGATTGATTTTTGAATATCCAAATGGATGATGGAAGCAGAAATGTGAGAGGGCTGGAAGGAGTGCAGTTCTTTTCCAGTTTAATCAATTAGTATTCCAGGAAAGGGTTGTATTTGCTTCCTTACGTATCACAGTGTTTTGAATGTATGGCAAGTTTTGTTCTTGCTTCATTGAAAACAAACCACAGTGCATTACAGAACTGTCTCAGTTTCTTGATTTAAAGATGTGAAAGCAGTGTATGCATGGCTGACTCTCTACCTTGCTAATGCTACATTTTTTCCTTTTTGTTTTTAGGTCAAAAATGTGTATTTCACAAGCTTCATTCCTTTCTTGAATTCTGCTGGTATTGTAGCTTCCAATGGACTGCCAGAGGTAAGTAGAGGAATTTAAGACATTGTGGTGGGCAGACCCCGGCTGGGTGCCAGGAACCCACCAAAGCCTCTTTTAACTCCTCTCTGCAGCAGAATTGAGAGAGAAAATATAACAAAAGGTTCATGGGTTAGATTGCTCACCAAATACCATCACTGGCAAAAGAGATTCAGCTGAGGGATCTTAGTTGAATTTATTGCCAGCAAAATCAGAGCAGGATAATAAGAAGTAAAAGAAATGTTAAAAACACCTTCCCCCCACCCCTGCCTCCTTCCCAGGCTCAACCTGCTCCCCATCAGCAGTGGGAGTCACTTTATCACATGTTCCAGCCACTGCACAGGGAGTGGAGTCCTTCCCCTGCTCCAGTGGGGTCCTTTCTACAGGAGAACATCCTCCATGAGCTTCTCCAACATTCCACAGGCAACAATTCTTCACAAACTACACCAGTGTGGGTCCCGCCAGGGGTCACAAGTCCTATCAGGAAGCCTGCTCCAGTGTGGGCTCCTCCAGCATGGGCCTCCCACAGGGTCACAGCCTCTCTCAGGCACCCACCTGCTCCCAGGCTGTGCATGGATCTCTGAATCCCCATGGAGCTCCCTGGGCTGCAGGGCACATCCTGAATCCCCATGGAGCTCCCTGGGCTGCAGGGCACATCCTGAATCCCCATGGAGCTTCCTGGGCTGCAGGGCACATCCTGCATCCCCATGGAGCTCCCTGGGCTGCAGGGCACGTCCTGCATCCCCATGGAGCTTCCTGGGCTGCAGGGCACATCCTGAATCCCCATGCTCTGCACCAGGGGCTGCAGGGGAATCCCAGCTCTGGCACATGGAGCACCTCCTGCCCCTCCTTCTCCACGGACCTCGGTGTCTGCAGAGTTGCTCCTCTCACATACTTTCATACCTCTTTTCTCAGACAGCAGTTGTTTCTGTGTAATTGCAGTCGTTTCTGTTTTTCCCTTCATAAATATGTTATTACAGAGGTGCTGCTATAATTCCTGATTGTCCTAGCCTTGACCAATAGAAAGGGTCAGTCCTGGAGCCATCAGGATTGGCTCTGGTGGACATTGGCAAAGCTTCTAGCAGCTTCTCACAGAAGCCACCCCTGTAACCCCCCCCAGTTACCAAAACCTTCCCATGCAAGCCCAGTACAGACAGTTCAACAACTGTTTTGCTTCATGCCAAATAGCTTGAGACACCCTTTACCCACTGGTGGAGTTCTAATAGGTTCTTCTAAAATCATGTGGCAAAATGAACTGTTTTTTAGGAATGTGGGCTAGAAGGGAATCCAGTATTCATAAAGTATATTTAGCCTATGCTTTTGAATTTAATAAATTAATCTCCTGAGGCTAAACCAGGCTTTGCTGAAAGCAAAAAGCTTTTACATCAAGCAAAACGTAAGAGTTGCATATCCATGACCTTGGTAAGGCCATTCATCTAAAATACAACAATTACAATACTAGGTCTCTGAAGTCACTCTATAAATGCTTAAAGTCTTAAATTACACACCTTAATTAAAATATAAATGAGACATGTTATTGTAGTGTTGTTGGAAAGATATCCAGAAGATTAGTCTCAGTTTCACAACTTGGCAGAGTTTGGACTGCTGCGTCTGTGCAGAATTACTTTGATCTTGCTGAGCTGTTGCCTGGATGCAGCAGACTCTCTCTTTGTGCAATTGCATCCAGAGTGCATTTTAATAGGTAACTTCTTGCAGTGTGTTTACATTCATCATTATTAAAAATGTAAGTTTAGCTGTGTGTCACCAGTAGATGTTGAAAACATGAAAATAAGCAGCTCTGAAGCTGATCAGAGCAATGAGTCTGCAGGGTTCAATCAAATATATCTTCTGTTCAGTGTCATAGTGTGTTGGGTGGGGAAAAAAGTACAGATCTCTCTGAAGAGCTTAATCTCTTCCTAAATTAATTCCAGGATATCAGTAGCCTGTTTAGACTTTTTAATTGATGTGTGTATGTATAGTTGGGAAACCCTATATGAACTTCAAGGCAAAGGTCATTATACAGCTTATTCTCAAATCAGAGGGTTTTCATCCAAGACTGCTGAACTTCAGCATAATATCAAAATATTAGCATAAGACCTGCTGGTAAAACTTTTACAAAAGGATGCATTTGAAGAAAAATTGAGTCACATGATCTTTGCACCTTAACCTTGAGTGCCAGAGCAGAAAGTTAGAGCTGTATTTCAGAGGTAGTCAGTTCATACATGTAATCAGCTAACCAAAAATCATGGATGAGATCATCAGTACAATAGGTAGTAATGTGGTACATTTAAACTGACTTTCATAAAAAACCACTGTGCTTTTGAAAAATTTTAATGTTCCTTCCAGAGCAAGAAAAGCTTTTGAGGCTTAATGTTGGTATTTTTGTTTGTCTTTCCCATGTATTTGCTGGTCAGACTTTATGCATTAGTGAATAGATCGATACAGAACTCTTATTTTTGACTGAAGGTTTCTTCCAAGTTGGCCCAGTACAGCCATCTTGTCTGAGAGCTGCTGTTTTCTTTAGAAATTTATGAAATACTGAAATATTTTTGATTAAAAGAACGCATAATCCATTAAGAAGATAACAAAAAATGAAAATATAATTAAGTTTTTAAATAAAAAGAATAGTGATAATAGGAAGTGAAATATAATCTTTGGTTTAATAGACCTAATCTTAAAGTTTTAATTGTGAGATGAGTTTGGAGCAAATCCATTTGGCAAAGGTAAAGAAGAGGGTAAGGAGCAAAGCTGTGTAGGAGGCATTTGCAGCTTTCTCTCTCTTGAGACTGAGAGGGGACTTATTTGGGTTCATATGCATTGTTGCCTGTTTTCCTAGCAGGAGCTGGCCAGAGCACAGCATCATTTAATAAGTTCAAGGGCTCAGGGAGCAGATAATTGAGGTGGCTGCATACTTCTGCATGAGCACAGCAGCAGATCTGGAGGGCCAGATAAAAAAATTGCAGACTTCCAGTTAATGTTAGTCATTCAAAGTAAAAATAAGTCATTAAAAAAACATTCAGAAAAATCCAATAAACTTCTCCATGCAAAGTGAAGTCATGTCAGTCTGGGATTTGTGTCAATTAAGAATTTTTTTAACAGTTACTTAAAAATCTACAGTGTGGCCATGAAATAACAAGTCTATTTTTGTGGCAATAGGCATGTCTCTTAAGAGCTACTCCAGTGCAGATATATTAATATAAAGTGAGGAAACTCCTATTGAGGTAAAAAAAAGGTTTGAGTTTAGGCCCTGTTGTCCAAACCAGCAGAGACAGGGACTGATTCAATTGCCCAACAGCTGTTCTAAGAGCAAGCATTTTACATTTCCTGCTCTTGGTGACACTCTCTTTTCTAGAAGGAAAGATTTAAAAATATGGAAATGTTGGTTTGGTTTGCAGGTCTGTTTCCTAATCTAGTTGTTTTTACAGTGTCAAGACCTACATTTCATCAAAAAATTCTTATGATCTTGGATTGTTTTCTCTTATAAACAGTAATTTTCCTCTGGGTATGTTTCAACTGTTGTATAAGAAGTAACTTTGTGAGGTCCAAGGTCATTCTTTTAGCATTTCAGCATTCCAGTCATGAAGTAGAAATAACTTATGTTATTCAGTAGATTGTCAAACTTGTTCCTGTATAATAAATTCTGGGTTTTTTCAATGTCTTTTTGAGGTTGAAGTTATCTTGAAACAGTATGACGAGCTCTATCTCAAGAACAAAGATATAGACGCGAGACTATTTCTGAATCATGATGAGACTCTGCAGCCTGCTGTCATTTCATGGTAATATTTCCATTTACTGATTTCATTCCATAGCAGAGTGCAAACTTGTGTTGCTCTCTGCCCCCTTGTGTTATAAATGGAGATCTCTCTATCCTGTTGACCTACTAGTTTTGTACTTCAGATAAGGAATTTCTGGCATCACCAGCCTTGCTTTACATCATCACTTAAATAATCAGTGATGATGATTAGCTTTACATCATAACTTAAATAACATATGACTGTGACTGCCTGATTTGGAAGCTCTGCTCTAACACTTACTCTGTGCAAGGCCCTTTTCATTGAGGGAAAGCTGAGGAATAATGAGGAGGAGGCATGGCATACTAGCTGATTAGATGTGCCAGAGGTGGTGTTATGGCTCTGAGCCAGCTGGCACTGAATGGTTTGGGTGGTGGATGCCCATCCTGGGAACATGTAAGTTTGGGCTGGACAGGGCTCTGAGGACTCCCATTAAGTTGAAGATGTCCTTGGTCATTGAAGGTGGATGGGACCAGATGACCTTCAAAGGTCCCCTTCCAACCCAAACCATTCTATGATTGTTTAATTTTTTTTTCAGTTCTACACTTATATGCCAGCAATTCCTGACAATTCAGCATCTCTATAATTTAATGTGAGCTCACCATGTGAGTCTGAATTTATCTATGCCATGAAAATACACAAATTTAAAATGGGATTAAAATGCAATTAATACCATCTCTATATATAAATTAAGCTGATTGTAAATGAAATTCTAGAAAAGAAGAAAGCTTGGAAGGAAACTTTAGAGCTTGTCTAGTCCAACATCCTGCTCAAAGCAGGTCTGCTTGGGCATTTAAACAACTGAAGTAATTGGGCATCTAGATCTTCTAAAATCTGTTACACGTTTTTCTCTTCAGATTAATAAGTCTCTGTAGAAAACATTGTCTTTTGAATTGTATTAGTCTTTGATAAGTTTGTTTTCCATTTCTGTAGCTCACAGTTGGAGAGGACACCACTAAAAAACAATGCAGATGAGGAAATCAATATTATACTTCCACAGACTCCTGTTCGGTATGAGTTTTTCTCTTGAATGTGTTCTTTTGTTTAATATCATAGCTAAAAATATTTATCTTTACCATAGTCTTTTTTTAATTTTTAAGGAAATGTGGCCTTGGTTTTGTTGGTTTTTTTTCCCCATAAACTATACTGTAGTTCTGATTACTGATACTTTTTATTTATAGTAGATATAAAGATGGCAAAGATGCTTCCTTAAAGTTCTTGACATTAGAAAAGTCCTGGAGTATGAAGTTTCTGCATTGCTAAAAATTCAAAATGTTCTAAACCAACTTTGTTCTTGAGAGAAAGTTTAGTGATGTTTAGATTCTTTCCATTCTCACTTGGGCTTTGCTCTGATTTTTCCAAAACTGATGCTGTTTAGGGCAAATCATGTGAAGGCCTATTCGCCAGCACTGAATTTGGGCTGTAGTAACTTTTTCATGAAGCCACAGAAGTGTCAGTAGATGGCAGCAAAGGTTTGATCACCATCTTAGAGTGGAAAGTGAATCCTTATCTCTCCTTTTAAACAGAACCTTGTATAGTATATGCTGAAAGGACCATGCTTATTCCTTTGAGTTACCTTACAGTGTCATATATTTGAACCTAGACTCATGGACTCTGCTTTAAAGCCCCCTGAAACAGAGAGTATAATGATTTTTATCAGTGGATTTGTATCTGGTCATTTATGTAGAAACTAGTGTATTAAAAGGATGTAAGTACTAGTTATGAGCATAATGAGACTGAGTTGTATGTTTTCATTTTATGTTTTTCCAGTGTTCTTATGCTTTTCCTTATCATTAGGAGAGTTGTGGCAGAAGTGATTTTTACTAATACTTGGTAAAAAGTAGATTAAAGAAAAATGCATTATGTTGCAATGATTGAACATATTTTTGCTGGGTTTGCAGTTACTTGACTGATGATATGAACCAAATTGAAGTTGAATGATACAGAGATTTGAAGCACACAAACTGTCGCGGACTGGCCAAACACCAGTGCACCCACTAGAACTATTTGCTCGTGTTCGGGTAATACAGAAGGATTAGGAGGAGAGCAATGCAGGCTTAAAACCCTAAAGGGTATACAGAAAACTTTATTAACAGAACTAAAAAAAAAAAAAAAGAAATCTGAATAAACCTTCATAAACCTTCAGAACACTTGTCTTTCCCCCAGTGCTTCTTTCCTTTCCCACTAACAATATAAAGAGACAAAACCTGTAATTTTCAGTCCATTTACTGCCTAGTCTTTTTTTTTTTTTTGAGTTCACTTAGGGGGAGAAGTCTCTCTTGCAATGCCATGGAGACTTTTCTGCAAGAAACAGTTCTCTTGTGGTTTTAATTTTCACAAATAGCACCTGGAAAATCTGTAATCTTGAAGTCCCTCCCTCAGTTTGGTAGTCTTCCCACAGCTGCCATCATGGGGCATTTCAGCTTGTTGGGGTACAGTTTTAAGGATGAGCTGTTCTAGTATAGAAACAAAAAGTTCTCTTTTATCTCTGGGAACAGAGGTTTTCTTCTTCTGTCCTGGGGCAAGGTTTCTCATCTTTTTCATCTCTCTGGGTTCAAGCTTCTCATTGGAACACAGGTACTTCAACATTTGCTTGGGTGCTCATGGCTATGGTTAGAACGCTACATTCTCCCCATGCATTCCATGAGTTACAGGGAGGGATAAAAAGTCTGCTGTATCAATTATATCTTCACCATAGCCTTATAAGACAATTTCAGCCAAGACTGAGGCATCTCCTTATCTTCCTCCTATCTGGGATTTGACTCCTTCTTCACTGACCTTGGTGTCTCCATGTTGTTTTCTCTGTGTCTTCACCCTTTCCTTTTCCTGTCACTTGAGAGAGGATTGATGCATGCAAGTTTCATCTGTGAGAGAGTTAACATCTCGCCCGGGCTTGTGGATGGTGATGTGTTCTCTGCTGGTGGTGGCTGCTCTGGCTGCATGGCTGTTTTCCAGCCCCTGCCACGCTCAATTCCAGCCATGGGGCTGCAGGGCTGCCTCTGTTCTCTTTTCTGCTGTTTCTATTTCAGCAGGATGGCTGGGCAGCTCACGGCCAGAGCAGGGCTTAGCTTGGCTCCACCTGAAGCTGAGCAGAGCCAGCCTGGCCCCCGGCTGTGGTTGGAACTCGGCAGCAGCAGAGCAGGGCATGGCCCGGCCACTGTCCCATCACCTGTTCAAAGGCTGGAAGCAACAGAGCTTTCCTGGGGCTTGTTCATCATTAAATGTGATTTCACAGGGTGTATTCAGCTCTCTTAAGTGGTCTAACAGAGTGTTAATATTCAAAACTAGCCAGCTGATTGATCCTGTCAGGTCCAAAGGAAGCTGCCAAGATCCTTACAGGGAATCACTTCTGTAACTCCTGGATTTTTTTTCCTTAACTAAAAGCTAAACTATGTTAAACTGTTTAACTACGTTAAACCACAACCACACAAAATTCTACTGGAAAATCAAAAACAGCAATGAAGAATTCAGAAAGTAACAATACCACAGAAGAGTCAAGCTATTTCTTAGGTGTTAAACCATTCTTTTGGTTATTAAAGTTATCACAATCCATGTGTAAGTAATTAGATATATTGCCTTGTTAGAATTCATAGTCATTACCACAGTAGATTTCCTCGAACAGTTTGTTAACTGGAGTGAGAACAGGAATCATAATTTTTTGGTGTGTGGATTTGCTGTTCATTTTCTGGAAGCTGTCAACCTTAATGCTTATTATGCATTTTATTGTGTTTTTCCAGAGCGGCAATGAATAACATTCAGCAGCTGATTATGATTTTAAACTCAGCAACTGATAAACCATCAGATACTCTCATCAAGTACTTCAATGTAAGTGACTACAGAGATGATTTGTGTAGGATTCTTGGAATTACCACTCAAGCAAAATAGACACCTGTAGATCTGATGCACGTGTTTTTGAAGAAGTACATTTTATTTGGGTCGGTTTAAATGTCATCAGTCATTTTAGAAAGCACTTCTCTCTAACTGTTGTGTAGTGAAACCTTTTAAGTGCTTAAATACTTCAGTTACTGAGAAGCATATTAAAATTCTTTTATGTGTGTATTTAATGGAAAAGCAAGGGGGTATAGAAGGGAAACAAAAGAGAAAAAGATGTACAGCACTCTTTTAAATACCTCATTTTTATTTGTGCTGATGACCTTATATTGAAAGGTGTTACAAAGGGAAGCTGGGCTTTTAATCATTTAAATGATTGATATGTTTTTGAAGTAAAATGTCTTTTCTTTGTCTTTCCTTCCCCTGATTTGTTTCCTGTACTATTTTAGAATTGCACAGTGAACCCTAAGGATAGTATCCTGAAAAGAGTGGAAAGTTTTGAACACATCTTCAAAAAGAAATTTGCTGAAGCAGTTGGACAGGGATGGGCTGAAATTGGCTCACAGGTCAGTATTTGGGTTGAATATCACTCACTTGAGCTCTGTTAGCACTAGCTGGTATGAGACTTGACTTACTGATTCTCCTCATTCAATATAGATCAGTAAAGGTAAAAGTAACAGTATGCTTTTCAAATTGAGGAAGCACTGTAAAGATAGCATGTAAGAAATTCCTCTTAATGTGTAAGGAGTAATAGTAATTGGGTGAAAGTATGTTGGAAGTACTTTACTGAAGAATGGAAAGTTTTTTTGGGCAAAATACATTGTGAAACATATATTTGCATTCATTAGGTTAACTTGGCCTAAAACTGCCAAAGGTGACTCACTTCCTTATAAAGTCAGGAGAGCAGCTGTGCTTTCAACAAGGATTTTAGAAAATAAACCCAACCAAGTTTGTACTCGACAGTCTCCTTCCTGTCTGTCAGCCCTGCTTTTTTGTCCTGTTAGCTGTGAATCAGTGTGAACACAATTCAGGTTGTTACACTTGGTTGAATGTTCACGTGGCTGGAGCACACCTTAGTAGCCCTTGAGGCCTCTCCAGTGTTACTGGCCAGTGGAACTGGGGACAGTAACTTGCTTATAGTGGCTCTGTCAAAAACTGGAATGTTCTGGATTGTTAAAACACAAGAGTCTTGCTGTTGTAGTCTGTCAAAACTCCTTGTAATATTCCCGAATTTCTCATTCTAACAGAGGTACAAGCTTGGAGTGCGTCTCTATTACAGAGTAATGGAGTCCATGCTGAAGTCGGTAAGTTTAGTGCTGCTATCTCAGTACTGGCAGTACCTCTGGAATGACTAAGAATATTCACAAGTTTGATTTATTTATTTCAGGAGGAAGAGCGCCTCTCAGTGCAAAATTTCAGGTACTTGCCCCTAACTTGTTATTGAAGTCTGCTATTTGAAGTCTTGGGTCAAGGTACTAATAACTTCCTTTCTCTTCAGCAAACTTCTGAATGATAACGTCTTCCACACATCTCTTCTGGCATGTGCTGTTGAGGTTGTCATGGCTACATATGGCAGTAAGTTAAATCCAAAGTCTTTAATTGCATTGTTAGTTATTGGTAGTTATTACTATCTATTCTAATATAAATAGCAAAAACCCACCCAATACACAAAAAGCGACTCACTGAAATGTCTGAGCTAGCAATGATTGAATAAATACAAGGAGGAAAAAACATGAAAAGTGGAAGAATGTAGAATATGTGATAATTTTAGTTTGTTTTCTCTTCAGGAAATGCTTCACAAGGTGACAGTACCAGTGCTGAAACAGACTTGTCTTTCCCATGGATTCTCAATGTATTTGATTTAAAAGCTTTTGACTTCTACAAGGTGATTGAAAGCTTTATTAGAGCAGAACCCAACCTAACACGGGAAATGATAAAGCATCTAGAGCACTGTGAACATCGAATTATGGAGTCTCTCGCTTGGCAATCTGTAAGTAACACTTTCAAGTAGAATTTGCCCTTGTGTAATGTGCTTGCCTCGAAAAAAGACTTCATACCCAACTCTATAAAATAAGTTGTGGTCTTGCTGAGATTTGGTTCTAGAAAAATAAATTAAAAGAACAAAAAGAGCAAAACAGGATTTGTTTTGTCATGTCTTCTGGTTTTAGAAAAAGGAAGCATATCAGAGGAAGAAGTCAACATAGGTCTGCTGATTTACATGACTGTAAGCCAGCATCATTTTACTAGTCTGGCAAAAATCATAAGGGTAATACCCTTTAACTGTGTTTTAGTACCAAAATCAGCAATAAATTCAATGTTTTTGTTTGAAAGTTAATTTTTATCCAGTTGGTGTTCCTACTTGGCAATAGGGCCTCTGTTCTGGGCATCTGATATATTTGCTAATAGTACTTAAAATATTGCTTTGCATTGTCCTTTGCATTCCAGTCACTTTGTATTTTTGGATGCCGTTAAAATAAAATGCTGGAAGGTTGGATTTTTTTTTTAGGCTGTATTTCAGTAAATCAAACATTTGTTTCTTCTCATTGTTTGTTACTTATAAACCAGAAATAGGCTGTTTATGCCACAAAACAGGAGACTATAGAGGCTGGTAATTTTGACCAGACATAAAGAAAACCATTTTAGAACCAATCCCATATCTTTTAGTTCTGGAGAGGAAGGGGTATTTTAAGAGGCAGACACTATTTCAGGAAACTTGCAAGCAAAAGGTCTTCAGGAATTGTAACCTTAAGAGGACAAAAGATATACCTGGGTTTGACTCTCTACAAGCAAGAAGTGGCCCCTGCTACCTTGTACAAAGCAGCTTGAAGCCAGCTTGCTGATCAGCAGTACACCAAATCCACCAGTTTTTACCCAATAAGTCAAACAAGGAATGCAGGATAATCTAATTTGGACCTGGACTTTCAGGCTGGAAAATCCTGAGAGTTTTGTTTTCAAAAATTATGGGCATTGCAGGCTTTTGTGAAACAAATGATAATGTCATCAACGAGCACAGGATTATTCCAGGGTTTTTTTGAGTGCTCTGCTTGAACGTGTTTTAATGTCTTGACACTCCTTGAGTTTCTAGAGGGGCATTTGGTATGAGTTTGGGGTGGCTGATTTTTCAGTTGGAAGGGGCCTGCAAGGATCACCTAGTGCCAGAGAAGGATGTGGAAAGAAGCAGGAGAAAATACTTAGATGGCTGACTCAGGATGCTGTTGAGGATCCTAGAAAGGTTTAACTGGTGAACGAAATAATGGTTTACTGTATTCTTCTGCAGTTCCTTATCTGGATATTGCCTCCATGCAATGGTGTACAAGGTTTGCAAGTGTCTGCTTAATTAGCAATTCCCTCGAGAATGGGCAGGCAATTAGGGAAGTGTAGTTCATACCAGTAAATACCTCTGAACCTCCAAACACTTGATAAAGGAGTAGAGAAAAGCCAGATGCCTTCTTCTTACTCCTAAAGAATGTCTCACCATAAGTGGTTTCTTTGGGTTAATTGTAAACAGTCCAAGAAAGACGGAATCTTGAGAAAGTTCAAGTGTCCACATATGGTTAGAGAGTGGTTTTGTTTTTTGAGTTTTTTTTAATTGTTTCCCTCTCCAAGAAACTGTTTAAATGAAGAAAAGCATGGAATGAGTAAAGCTTATGCAAAAAATCCCCCAAAAAATCTTGCTTAGTAAATAAGAATAGAAACTTCTGAGAAACATTTATTTACAAATATTTGCTTAATGCAACTTTGATTTCCCCACTTACTTGCTGTCTATTTTTGTTAAGTTCTTGTGTCCTCCACCCTCCCAGGTAGTGCATTTCATTACAAGGCTTGTCTGCTTCAGTTCTTGTTCATTCTCCTGACTGCTTTAAAAAGGAAGACTTCGATGAGAGATTTAAAAGGATTGAGCAATTTAATACCAAATAGCTTGAATTTATTGCAGTTTTGCTTGTCACTGAGCTTTTGTGAGGAAAAATGCCTTGTATAATTTCTCAGGGAAAAAAGTCTCAAATGCATCTGACCTTTACCTGACTTGGGAAGCTGCATCAAGTGAATGTAAAAGATTCTGTTTTCTGAAGATAATATATTACTCCTTAGCTACTCATTGTGAATATGTTTATGGCTTTTACATAGCTAGCTGATTTAGTCATCTGTGCTTTAGGAAGGAAATGAAACTTTTTTAGGTCATCCTTTCTTTTAACAACTACAAAAAAGGCATAGCTAGACAAAATAAAGGATGGAAACCAGTTAAAGGTTCTTCCCAATAATTCTTCATTTTTAAAAGGGGCGAATCCATACTGACTAAATCATGTGGAAAGTACTTCCTTTTTCTCAAGTCTTTATCAAACCCTGAGAGAAGTCCTATTTAACCACTCAAATATTTACCAGTGAGGTTATGATGCTTCCAGATGAAGATTATGTAGAGATCAGTTTAAAATATATTAATAATGCTGCATAATTTTTATTTGCAAAATAGAAATACACTTTACAATATTCTTTACTTTGAATTTGTGCTCATTTACAGTATTTGGAGTGCTGTTTTGATTTCGTAACTTTAAAGGGAACTGAAATTACTTTAGACTCAAAATGCTGACTAGCCTTTGTTTCATTTTTATCATACTTATAGAAATATGATTTAAGCCCTTCCACAGTTAAAATCTGTTTCCTCTGAAAGGGATAGTTTGTGACCTACCAGCCTGGTAGATCATGCTCAGCCTTTTCCATAATTCTATCGATTTGACCTCCCTTGTGGCCACCCAAAAAAGTAATTGTTTTGAATATCTCAAATGGAGGTTATGTGAAGGAATTCCAGAATATCTGAATTTCCCTTGCAGAAAGCCCTGTCAACTGCCATGTCACATCTTTGACTGAAGTATTGTTGCTGTTTGCTGCAGTTTGCTAGGAATAAACAAGGAAGAACAGGTTTTCAGGCAAGCAAATCAAACACAAAGTCTCTCAGTTTTCAATCTATTTTGAGTGAAATACCTGTGGGGTGTTTTTGGTTTTGCTGTTCAAGGAAGTAGATGCCTGTGGAGTATGTTTGTTGTATCTGAAGAACAATCCAGCTGTATTTCCCTGCCTCTCAGCTTCCATTCTGCTCACATGCTCTGAATGGGGAGGTACAAGTAAGGTCCTGTGTTTTTCATGCTGGTGCTTAGAGAATGTGCTCCTTGCAAATGCCCTTTCACATGTGCAGCGTTGGGGTAGTGAAAGGGTCTTGTTCTTCTGCACTGGAGCTGCAGGCCAACCTCAGCCTTGTGTGAAGGTAAAGCAAGTTAAAGACAGAAGCTCTCCACACTTTCCTGGTTAGCTCTACAGACCATAATGTTCTGTTAACTTGTTAGCTCCTCCATGTGGGCACTAGGAGTATTCCAAGTGGTATTTCTCGTAGGACTGGAGTTTAAGAAGGTTGTGTGGTAGCTCTTGCTGTTAACAGGGGTGAGGGTCAGCTGCATCACCACCTGCAACCCTCCAACAGCTCAGAACAGAAAGTGGGGGTTCATTGTGGCAGGCTAAAGGGAATTCGATTCCCAGCCTGGTCTGGTTTTCATGTTTGTTTTTGTGTGAACAACAAACAGATGGGAAACTAAAGCAGTGCAGCTTTTGTCGCTGTAGCCTTCTTTGGTTGTACTGCTTTTTAATATGTGCTGTCCTAATTAGTGTTTTAATTTTTATAAGGAGGGAGGAACACCAGTATTGATATATGTTGTGATTTGGATAGTAGTATGTTTTGGAGTTTTAATGACTGATGCAAGAAAAACACGGCTTCATGAAGTTACTTCTCTTAATGGTTGAAATATGAGTGGAAGTAGACAAGTGTGCTTTGCTTTATTTATAATGTCTTTCATCTAGCATTGCTTAAACTGTGCTCCATAATGCTTCTCCTTGTGTAGCTTCTTTTTGGTGGTTTCTATTGTCAATTCAACATTTGCAATGAAATCTACAGTATTTTATCACGCAGCGTTGATTTAAAATAACTCGATGTTTGCAGTAAGTATTTGTCATCTAACTGTGTAGTCAGTGTTTATACTCAAATACCTCATCCCACACCAAAGACTTCTGTTGGTTTTAAATTATGCCAGTCACTGCAGCAGAGTGTCTTCATGCTCAAAACCATGTATTCCCGAAGAATATATTATTGCATTAATATGGTGAACTTGCTGAGCTGGAATAACAGCAGACCTACTTTGATCATGCATTAAGGAAAAAAAAAATTAAATAATATGTTTAAAATTTGCATAAAAAGCGTTAGACAAATCCAGGTCAGGGTAAAGCTGAGACAAATCCAGTTGAGCAGTTACAGGTCAGCGAGTGCTTCTTAGTACTTTGGAACAGTACAGGTTTAGCTATGCAACCTCCTGGTCCTTGTACAAGGACACAGTTATTGTGGAGTTCACTGTTCTCAAGTGTTTAGTACCTGTTTCCTTGGATGTACAATTTCAAATTAGGTTTCTGTGCTCCTTGTAAGGAGGAATTGAGCTAGAAAGGGGGGTTAATACATTTTCTTGTGGGTTGAATCCTTCTCAGTAGGGATTTCTGTTAGGTCTGTCTGAAGTCCTACAGCTTCTCTGAAGGTAGGTGTCTACATGCAGTTTAAAACCCTTTTTAATTTTGACATCTTAAGCGATTCCTTTTAAATCAGGAGGTAGGAATGGTCACACTGTTAACATTTGATACATTAGGTTGCTGGGTAAGTGGTTTGCTGTTGTGTTAAAACAATGAATCTAAAATCTTCTGATAGGCAGCCAAGTAAGGCCAGGCAGCAAGGGCTGAGTTTGTACTCCTGGCCTCAAAGGGACAATAGTTTGGGCTCAGGTATTGCCCCACAGTCATCAGGAGTGTTGCCTTGGTAACATACTCCCTGGCCTGTTCTGGCATTTGTCAGCTCTCCTCGGGACAATGCCTAGACAAGATCTGGGGCATGATGCAGCTCAGGGACTATTTTCAGCTGCTGGTATGGATTAGCAGTGGAGGATGTGTAGTTGCGTGGGTGCAAGC